ATAGAGCCAGGAGTAAATCTTGATCATCACTGGATCTTGTCCCTACCCCCAAAAAAAGAGCACTTCTAAAAATCATGTTTGTTTAGCATACTTCTGATATTAAGAAAGAAAAACTGGAGCTGACAACGTAGCTCAGTGGTAGAGCACTTGCCTTGCATACTTGAGGCTCTGGATTAAATCCCTTATTCCACAAAAAAGGAAAAGAATTAAAAACAAATATAATTCATTGACACAAACTAAAGGAGAAAAATCATAATTGTCTTTATAGGTAGAAAAGGCACTTATTAAAATTCTGTTTATATAGGGAAAATAGTACCCTTATAATAACAACATAGGGAAATTGCCTTGGTATTTAAATATTTGAACACATCTGTGGCAAACTACACTATGAAATGTTAAAAGCTTTCCCTTCAGAGGGGTTTGAGAGATAGTACAGTGAGTAGAGCATTTGCCTTGCACACAGATGGCCTGGATTTAATCCCTGGCACCCCTATATAGTCCTCTGAGCACAGCTAGAACTAATTCCTGAGCACATAGCCATTAGTAAACCCTATTCACCTCTGAGTATTTGCCAAAGTGAGCACAACAAATGTCAATAATATATTAACGAATCTCTACAAATCATTGTAAACAAAAATTAAATTAAATTAAAATACATGAACAGAAGAAACATATGTAGACATCAGGGATATAGGCCAAAGGTCTGGAACCCATGCTTTATATTCATAAGGCTTGGGGATTCAGTCCCTGATGCCATGCCCAATCCAAATCCCCATCAACCAAATTAATAAACTGGAATATTTTTTCAATGGACTAGTTTGCACCAATCAAAATTAGTGACCTACAACACAAGATTTTTTATACTTTCACAATAAACATTAATGTGGGGGAAAAAACACCAAAATAATCCATAGCACTTGGTTCTGTGAAATTTAAAACAAACAAAAAAATAGATAGGGGGCAAATACATAATACAATAGACACATATTCAAAAAGAATATGCTGGAGAGATAGTACAGTGGGTAAGGAGCTTGCTTTTTAAACTGACCCAATTTCAAACCCTGTTACCACATAATAGTTCCTGAGCACCGCCAGGTGTGATCCCTGAGCACCAAGCCAGAAATAAGTCCTAAACACACCCAGTATACACACACCTACACACAAGGGGCTAACACCAATGCACACGAAATTCAATGTAATTATATTATTTGATGGAGTGAGGAGAGGTATGAGACCAGATATATATTTAGTGGTACATAGCACAGCGGTAAGGCGTTTGCCTTGCACGCAGCCAACATGGCCGACCCGAGTTTGATTCCTCTGCCCTTCTCAGAGAGCCTGGCAAGCTACCAAGAGTATCTCGCCCGCACGGCAGAGCCTGGCAAGCTCCGCATGACGTATTTGATATGCCAAACACAGTAACAACAAAGTCTCCAATGGAGACATTACTGGGCCCGCTCGAGCAAATTGACGAACAACGGGAGGGCCTTTACCTTTTACCTTTTATTTACCAATACCTGGCATTGTTTTAAAAATTATATTGAATCACCATGAGATAGTTACAAGTTTTCATGTTTAGGTTATAATCACACAATGATCAAACACCCATCCCTCCACCAGTGCACATTCCTCACCACCAATATCCCCGGTATACCCCCCTTTCCCACCCTCCCCATCTCCATGGCAGATAATATTCCCCATACTCTCTCTCTACTTTTGGGCATTATGGTTTGCAATACAGACACTGAGCGGTTATCATGTTTGGTCCTTTTTCTACTTTCTGCACACATCTCCCATGCCGACCAATTCCTCAAACCATCATTTCTTAGTGATCCCTTCTCTATTCCAGCTGCCTTCTCCCCTTTTCTAATGAAGCAGGCTTCCAGCTATGGAGCAGTCTATCTGACCCATGTATCTACTACCCTTAGGTATCAGTCTCATGTTATGTTGTTTTATACTCCACAAATGAGTGCAGTCCTTCTATGTGGAGATACAATGTTTATCCATTCTTATTATTTGTGTAGATACATAAGTGACATCAGATAAGCTAAGTCAATATTAAGCACATTCAGCACAGGCAAATGATGAGTTTATACACCAGTTCTGTGAACCTGAAGTCCAGTCGGATTAAAAAGAGTGGGAAGTGGTCAGTATTTGTGTAAAAGCAGAAAGCACAGAAATATCAGAAAAGTATCATCTCCGCAGTCTGCCAGCCTCTCTCAAGGAACAAAAACCCAGAAACCAAGGTGCCTTTTAGCCTAGTTAGCATCAGTCCCAGAATTGACCCCTAGGGAAACCAAACGCTCTGCTGGAGTCTCTCACCTCACGCATCAGTTCCCAACTGATCCCAACGCCAAAAGTGTCGACCAACAGAAGAGCAGAAGCAGAGAAGAGCGAAGTAAAGAGCATGCACCGCCCTGTCCCGTGCCTCAGATGTCGGAACCCACCGCCCGTGTGCCCCTCCCCCCCCCTCCGGCTTAGGAGATTCTGGGTTGGTGCTGAGGACACCAAAGGCTTTTTTGAGGTCACATCACCAAGAACCTAGCTAGCCAAGAAGAATCTGTCACTTCTCCAAAAGTTCCCAAAATAAACCCTGCCAAAAAAGATTATTTGAACATCAAAGGCCAAGTCTATTCTGGCTGCTGAGGGCCTCAGAAACTGAGGGCCTCTTTAGGCTGAAGTAGAAATATACTACACAGACTCTTAAGCAGACTTCCTTGTGGGAGAAATTATTCTCTCTCTGTGACCATTATTACCCAGTCACAGAACGAGCAAGTTTCAATTTTTCTACGACTTTAATTTTCTACGAAACGTCTTACCCACTGGCGACATTTTTCTTCTCAAGGTGTAGCCTATATCCAGTAACACCAAACGTCCTGAACTGTTTAAGGGAAAGCTACTGCTGATAGATGATAAAAAATAACGGCTGGTTATTTTAAAAGCAAAATGAATTTGATCAAGTATGACACAGCACCTGAGTGGTTATCCCACAGCGAGCCACACTGCCAGGACAAAAAAATGAAAGAGAGTTTATTTATATTGTGAAAGTCGGGGCGGGGCTGGGGCGGGGCAGGGCGAGGCTATGCTGTGCTAAGAGAGTTCATTGGTGAAGAGTAAGAATCCATGGTGGAAACAGTTTCTTATTGGCTGATCTATGAGATTCTCAGGTGGAGCTGTTGCTGGGCAAAACAAACTTCTCTTTGTTAGAGAACAGAGAGTCAGTTTCTCTCAGGGGTTACAGATCTGGAACTCTGCCTGATAATGGCCCTGGTCTCATATAGCTTGAAACTGGGCCACAGGAAGAAAACAAGGAAGATAGTTGAGAAACAACTGCTCTGCACCAAAACTAAGAGAGTGGAATATTAACTCCCCATGAAAATGAAAAGGGCTGGAGCAATACCACAGCGGTAGGGCATTTGCCTTGTGCGCAGCTGGCCTGGCCGAGCCGGGTTTGATTCCTCCGCTCCTCTCAGAAAGCCCGGCAAGCTACCGAGAGTATCTCACCCGCTCTGCAAAGCCTGGCAAGCTACCCGGGACATATTCAATATGCCCAACACAGTAACAACAAGTCTCACGATGGAGACATTATTGGGCCTGCTCCAGCAAATGGATGAATAACGGGAGGACCGTGACCGTGAAAATGGAAGACACTAAGAGTACAGAATCTTTTGGGGGGTGGAGAGTTTTCAATCATACCCGGCAGTGCTCAGGGGACATTCATGGTGGTGCTCAAAGGACCGTATGCAGTGCCAGGGATTTGAAGCAGGGGGATTCAAACCAGAGTCATGACTGATGCAACAACATGCAAGACAATTGCTTTACCTTCTGTGCTATCTTTCTGACCCAAGAATAGAGTATCTTGAGAAAATACAGCAAGCATACTTTGAGACTTTTAATTCAAGAATATTGAAGCCACACCATTATCCAGGAATATTGTCATCTTAAAAATCTAAATCAGTATTTTTATTTTCCAGCACCAAACTTTAAATTGCCTGGCAGAAGAAGTCAGAGAATCCATACAGGAAGTATTCTACTTGCTTTGTATGCGGCAGACCTGGTTTGATCCTCAGCACCACATATGGTACCCAAGCACTACAATAGGTCACTTCTGAGCACAGAAGCACTGCTAGGTGTAGCTCTAATACCCCCACCACCCCCAACCTCTGCACTAGTATTACCTTATAGTGTGTGCATACTAACTGGGTTTTAAAGAGACCCTACTTCTGGAATGGGTTAGGCAACCATAAGTATCTTCATGAAATATGGTTAACTAAGTTCTAGTGGAAGAAATGTGGAATCAAACCTCCTCTTATAACACTATCAAATTGCACATACATATCCAGGTTTAATCAAAAGTCCTGATGTAATTATAATTAACCTTTTAGATTAGATATGTAGGTCCATGAAGTCACTCTTTACAGATCACATGGAAAAGATCAGCAACTTTTTCATGCCAATACAACATGGGCAGAATTATATCAAATAAAATAAATATTTCTCCATAAATTTTAAGACTAAAGCTGGAAAGATGACTCAATAGGCTAGATTACAATGCTTTCCAAGCAGAAGACTCAGGTTTAATTCTGGTACCGTATGGCCCCCAAGTCCCCCTAGGAGGGAACCCCAAACACAGAGCTCAGAGTAGCTCCTGAAAATTTGGGTGTGTCCCCAAAAAAACTTTAGGCTAAAAGACAAAAAGCAAAACTCTAAAAAATAATTCCAGGGGACAGAAATATAATAAAGCTAATACAGGATTTAAGATGTTTGCCTTGCATGCAACCCATTCCAGTTGTATTCCTGGCACCACATAAGGTCCCCAGATCACTTCCAGGTCTAATATCTGAGCTCAGCACCAGGAATAAGTCCTAAGGACTACCTACTATGCACTTCTATCCAAAAAAGAGGAGGAGGCATTCCTTACTGGTCCAGTATTCCAAGAAATAATAAGATAAACTAGAGTCCTAAATGGTGTGTACTTGGAAACAGTTTACAAAGACACTTTATTCTGCTTCAAACTGGCTCATCATCATCTTCCTGCTATATTCATAGGCCAAAATTAGCATCGCATTGGCAGGAACTGCTCGAATCATAGTAGCTTTCATTCCAGAATATAGGGTTGCTGCTCCTTCATTTCTCACAATACTTAAGAGAGTTCTGATAAATCCTGCCTGTTTCCCAGACATGGAAAGAACCTGAATTCTGGACTTAATACAATCCACTGGGTATACAACAATCCAAAGACAAACTCCAGCAAACCCACCACTTATCATCAAATAGACAGGGCCGAGTTCATCTTTTGGTGTCCCTGAGGCAAAAAACGATCGGCTGAGCTCATAACCCCCAAAGAAAAAGAAATATCCCGGTACTTCTTGGAGCAAAGTACTAGAGAATCCATGGTAGAAGCCCATGAGACCCTCTTTTCTAAAGATAGTCTTCACCATGGTCCAAACGGTGCTGTGGCTTTTTGCTATCTTCCCTGACAACTCCATTTCATACATGGCCTGTAGCCGGCACTTCACAAGCTCCGTGGGACACAGTACCAGCGCAGCAAAGGTAGAAGCAAGGGAACCAGCAGTTGCAGACTGCAAATCACTCAGCTTTGTATGCCTGTCCAGTCCAGCCACATTCCTCACAAACTGTTGACAGAAGCCATAGGTCATAAAGAGGGCTGCGTTCTCGGCAACATATGCCATCAGTGCCGGGCTGGTCCCCCTGTAGAAGCCCCCAAAGCCCACTTGAGAGTACGTCTTCAGGCAGCAGTCGATGAAGCCCTTATACAGGTTGGGGAACGTCTGCATCTTAACTTTTATGGTGTCGAAGGGTTGCCCAGTCAGGACACAAGCTGTCCCTCCGATGGCCCCTGATGTGAAGTCTATGGTGGCTTGAATCACCGGATTGGACTTCATGTTCATCCCCTCGTCTGCTGGGGTGGGGGATGGTAACTTTCTGGATTTGAGGACCGAAGTTTCACACACAGTCTACTCTCGGCTCTCAATTACTTCCAACAGAAGCCACTTTACCCGCCGTCCTCCAGGCCACTAAAATAACACACACACCCCACCCCCAAGTGACCTCGCACGCGGCTCTCCGGCGCGCCTGGGTCACGTGTTGAAACCGCCAGCAGAAACCGCTCTGCGCCTGCTCCACCGCCAACCTAGCGCTAAAGGCAGACTAAGTATCTATTTTAGGGGTGGGGGTACACCCGATATGTACACTCAGGGATCACTCCTGGAGGGCTCTGGAAATTATATGGGGTGCCGGGATTGACGGGGAGGGGGGACGGAGGACTGTGATGGGGAGGGGGCTGCTGTGTGCAAGGTAAGCGTCCTACCCGCTATACAATCACTCCAGTCTATATTCATGTTTTTATTATATATTTATATTTAGACATATTTTCTCTTTCATCTATGTATTATATAGTTTTTAACATATTTGTCTTTTATACACATTTTATCTTTTTGTGTGTGCACAGAGAGCAAACCAGGGTTTGTCACATATACAATGTGTGTGCTCTACCTTTGAGTCATATCCCCAGCCTTAAACTTTCACAGATTATACTCATGGACTATAGTTTTTCATGGATTGAAATATATCTATTAAAAGCTAAACTGTGCACTTACGGCCAAAGTCTCTAGCCACTACTATGCCACCAATGAGGAAAAATACTGATGTTCACCCCATTTCTTACTAGCAAGAATTGAAGATGCTCCCAGGAGGTCGATCTCAGAGTCAAAGAGGGACCGGTTTGGAATAGGGAAGACAAATATTCAAGGGAGGGGAAGAGGTAGGTCCTACATTATTGATGGCTTCATTTAATCAGAAAACATTTCACTGTCATTACGTCAAGAGTGTAGCTCTTCTTGCCATGGATGCAATCCACCCAGGTTCAATCCCCAGCTTCCTCTATGGTTCTCGAGCACCACCAGGAGTGATTCCTGAGCACACAGCCTGGGGTAACCCCTTAGCATTGCTGGGTGGCCCAAAATAAAATAACAGAAAGGGGCAGAGGATGAGAGGACAGGATAGAAGTGTCACTGTTGAGGGTATCATGAGGTAGGGGGAATTTTACACATCCTTACGTGTGAAGTTATTCTCCCAAAATTACATCCTATTCTGAAGCAGTACAATATAAATAAATTTGATTTTGCAGGACCCTATTCACTTATTGCCACGCCTGGCAATTTCAGGAATTACTCCTGGATTTGCACTCGGGAATTATTCCTACTAGTGCTCGGAGGACCATATGAGATGCCAGGGATTGAACCCTGGTCAGCTGTGTGCAAGGCAAGCATCCTATCCACTATATTATTATTCCAGCCCTAGCTGTAGTGTGTTTTATTCTGATTTCCACAACTGGAATTGAATGAGAAACTTAAAAACTAAAGGTTTTGTGTTCTGAGATATAACACCAAGAAATGGAGTCAATGGATCATTTGGTAGCTGTTTTTTTATTTAAAAATTAATTTTTATTAAAAACACCGTGATTTACAAAGTTGTTCATATACATTTTTGTTTTGACTTTTTCAAGAAATCTCTATATTGTTTTTCCCAGAAACTGGACAGTCCCACTCACAACAAATGAGGGTCCCTTTTCTTAAATCCCTAACATATCAACACTGGTTGTTTCCAGTCTGTGATAAAGGACATTTCACTGGTGCCAAGAAACAGATCCATAGTTAAATCCAGACAAAGAATTTGAGCTGGATTTCACAGTAAACTACTGACCGAGTTCAAAAAAAAAAAAAAAGAGTGTAACTCTGCAGAGGTGCCACCCCAAAGTCCTGATCTGGGTCCAGTTGGTCACTCTTCTGAGGTCTCAGGGAAATGCCTTAAAGCTGTTAGAACACGGGAAAGGTTATTTTGTGGCACCAAAGATATGAGCATGAGCTTGGAGAGTCTGTAGGACACAATCATTATTTAAAGAGCCAGGACATGGCACTTTGCTATCAAGCTGGTGAGTTGCTATTTATATACCACTAAGAAACATGATAGAAAAGAGCTGTGTGGCTCCAGCGCTCCAGGCTCACTAAGTTTCCAGGCTCTTGTCTGCAGGAACCCTATAGCCCTGCACAGCTCCAAGTACCTGTGACAATAGTTTGCATGGTAAGATGCAGCTGGGATGAGGTTTGGTATTTTCAGGATACTATTGTGGGGACATATTTTTTCCATCTAGATGCTCATAACTGTGTTGAAACAATTCCCCCAAAGATTTACATCCTTTTTGTTTTGTTTTGTTTTGTTTTGTTTTGTTTTGTTTTGTTTGGGGACCACACCGGGCAATGCTCAGGAGTTACCCCTGGCTCTGCACTCAGAAATTACACCTTGGGAGTACATGATGAACCACATGGAATGCTGGAAATCAACCTGGGTCAAACTTGTGCAAGGTAAGTCCCTTACTCACTGTACTGTCACACCCCCCCTCCCAAAGGTTTCATTCTAAAGACCTAGCCACTATTTTAGGGTAAATGCCAAATGGTGGAGAGGGACAGAAAGTGTGCTGAAGTCATTCTTTCCTTCAGAAAGCTTTTCTTGTTTGATTTTCTTTGGTGGTTTATTTAGTATTTAAAAGCGAGTTGCTAAAAAGCAGATTGTACAAAGATAAGAGTTTATGAGCAAGTAGATTCTTTTGTAGTGGATAGTGACCTGGAATTTTGTTTGGAGAATGGCCAGATGTTTGGGTTATTTAGGTTCCAAACTTAACCACGGGCTTTTTAATAAAGAAAAGAGGTATTGAGAACAATCTACCATTTTTAACTAGAAAAAATAATATTTTTAAATCCTTCATGTTACATAGGAATTTTTTTTTGGCGGGAGGGGGGGAACAGCTGGCAACACTCAAGGTTTACTCTTGGATCTGTGCTAAAGAATCAGTCCTGGCTGGACCTCAGGGAGCATAGGGGGTGCTGCAGGTCAAACCTACGTAAGCAACATTCAAGGCAAGCACTTTACCTACTATACTATCCTTAAAGGCCAATATAGGGATCTTTTAAAAATTATTTTGATAACACCCTCATGAAAGACAAGGAAGGTTTATTTGTTAACTTTAAAATTAGGGGCCATAAAACAATGGATAAGGCGCTTGCCTTGCATGCAGCTGACCCAAGTTCAATCCCTGGCATCCTATATGATCCCTCAAGCCCACCAGGAGTGATTCCTGTGGACGGAACCAGAAGTCAGTCCTTGAGTACTGCCAGGTGTGATCCCAAAACAGAAAAAACAAAACAAAAAGATTAAAGGTCATCTACCTTTTTTTGGTGCTATTATACATACAAACATACACCTCATAATGATATCATTCAATATTTCTCTTTCACTTCTAACAAACAAAAAGGGCATTTCAATATCTTCTGTGAGCCCTGACCAAATTATTTAAGACATGCACTCAATATTTTAATGACTGATTTTAAATTAGATATGGCTGTTTTATATTTTTTTAATAAATACAAAGAAGGGGCCAGTAAGATAGCTCAAAGGACTGCAGTATATGCCTGATTTTGCAGAGGATCCCAGATTTTATCCCAGTCACTGTTTGGGAGGCCACCCAAACAAAAACATAAGATGTAGGAAACTCATGAATTATCACCTACTTTTGCATTAAGTTCAGTTATATGTTTTGGAGAAACCACATTAATAATCATCTCAGGAATTATACCTGGAGCTCCATATTTTACTACAAACAATTAAAAAAATTGTACTGTGTAGTTGTAACTCTACTTGCATTAGCCATTTTCAAGATTGGTATGGTAATCTTATTTTTGGTTTAACATGCACTTAAACCATAAAAGGCACAAATTAATAAAAACTGACTATGTTTAAGACATTGTGTTAGCACTACATTGCTACACAAAATGTACTTAAAAGAGAGTATATATTGAGGCTGGAGCAATAGCATAGCAGGTAGGGCATTTGCCTTGCATGCAGCCAACCCAGGTTCGATTCCCAGCATCCCATAGGGTCCCCTGAGCACCACCAGGGGTAGTTCCTGAGTGCAGAGCCAGGAGTAATCCCTGTGCATCACTGATTGTGATGCAAAAAGAAAAAAAAAAAAGAGTATATTGAGCCATCTACTTTACTACTGTCATCTAATAGAAACTAGAAATTACAAAGGCCCTGTAGCACTGTAGCACTGTTCTCCCATTGTTCATCAATTTGCTAGAGTGGGCACCAGTAACATCTCCATTGTGAGACTTCTTACTGTTTTTGGCATATCGAATACGCCACAGGGAGCTTGTCAGGCTCTGCCGTGTGGGCGGGATACTCTCGGTAGCTTGCCAGGCTCTTCGATAAGGACAGAGGAATCGAACCCAGGTCGGACACATGCAAGGCAAATGCCATACCCACTGCGCTATCGCTCCATCCCATTACAAAGGCAGGAGGGTAAAAAAAGAAACTAGAAATTTAACTTTATAGTGTCCTAATGAAGTCTACAAATACTGAATTCAAGTTGGAATGAACAACTAACTTTACATTTATCTCTGATTTAGAGATCTCATAGGATATTATATTTGTTTTTTTGTTTTGGTTTTTTTTTGTTTTAGGATATTATATTTGTAATAAACAAAAGAAAGTCAAAGACATTCTGTGCCCAGTGTCATACTTTTTTTTTCTTTTTTTTTTTTTGTCTTTTTTTTTTCCCTTTATTTTATTTTATTTTTTTTAAAGTTGTAGATTTACAATTTTTTGTGCTTTGGTTTCAATTATACAATGATCAGATACCCATCCCTCCACCAGTGCCCATTTTCCACCACCATGGATAATATCCCTCCCACCCCCATCCCCCCATCCCCCCTGTCTCTGTGTCAGGGCAATCCCCTGTGTTCTCTCTCTCCTTTTGGGTGTTGTGGTCTGCAAAAGAGGCATTGAGTGGCAAACATGTTCAGTCCATAGTCTACTTTCTACATGCATC